CAGTAGTCACCCATCAATGAAGATTTTAGATCTGTAGTCACCCATCAATGAAGATTTTAGATCTGTAGTCACCGATCAATGAAGATTTTAGATCTGTAGTCACCCATCAATGAAGATTTTAGATCTGTAGTCACCCATCAATGAAGATTTTAGATCTGTAGTCACCCATCAATGAAGATTTTAGATCTGTAGTCACCTATCAATGAAGATTTTAGATCTGTAGTCACCCATCAATGAAGATTTTAGATCTGTAGTCGCCCATCAATGAAGATTTTAGATCTGTAGTCGCCCAACAATGAAGATTTTGATCTGTAGTCCCCATCAATGAAGATTTTCGATCTGTAGTCACCCATCAATGAAGATTTTCGATCTGTAGTCACCCATCAATGAAGATTTTAGATCTGTAGTCGGTGTAGCCAACATTTCACTATATTCTAGAATGAACGAAGGAACTAAACACAGTTGTTGATTTGAACAATATTGCTTTTACCCATGTAAATAATTTTGATGTCACAGAAACCCTCTGCCACTAGAGGGCGCACCTTATAGTAATGGTCTCTACTTCGTGGATTGATTCAACTCCAAAAAAAATAATTATCATATCCTGGTAATGTAATTAAATATCAGTGTGTACCGGTAATTACTCCCAATGTTGCAAAGATTTAAAAGATATCTATGTTTTAGTCATCATCTTTATATAAAGACCACCTGTCTATAGTGACTACCTTTGGTCTGTCCCAATAAATGTGATCTCTTGTTTAACCCCGGTTTGTTCAAATGAAACTTGTATTTAGAGGTTAAAATAATTTTTTAATTTTATCAAAACAAAACAAAACAAGAATATTTTTATTCCCATGTTCAAACTTCAAGTTTGACTGTACCCTCGGTGGTCACTATACACAGGTTTGACTGTACCTTCAGTGGCCACTATACACAGGTTTGACTGTACCTTCAGCGGTCACTATATGCAGGTTAGACTGTACCTTCAGTGGTCACTATACACAGGTTTGACTACCTTCAGTGGCTACTATACACAGGTTTGACTGTACCTTCAGTGGCCACTATACACAGGTTTGACTGTACCTTCAGCGGCCACTATACACAGGTTAGACTGTACCTTCAGTGGTCACTATATGCAGGTTAGACTGTACCTTCAGTGGTCACTACACACAGGTTAGACTGTACCTTCAGTGGTCACTATACACAGGTTTGACTGTACCTTCAGTGGTCACTATACACAGGTTTGACTGTACCTTCAGTGGTCACTATACACAGGTTAGACTGTACCTTCAGTGGTCACTACACGCAGGTTAGACTGTACCTTCAGTGGTCACTATACACAGGTTTGACTGTACCTTCAGTGGCCACTATACACAGGTTTGACTGTACCTTCAGTGATCACTATACGCATGTTAGACTGTACCTTCAGTGGTCACTGTATGCAGGTTAGACTGTACCTTCAGTGGCCACTATTCACAGGTTTGACTGTACCCTCGGTGGTCACTGTATGCAGGTTAGACTGTACCTTCAGTGGCCACCATTCACAGGTTTGACTGTACCCTCGGTGGTCACTATACACAGGTTTGACTGTACCTTCAGTGGCCACTATACACAGGTTTGACTGTACCTTCAGTGATCACTATACACATGTTAGACTGTACCTTCAGTGGTCACTGTATGCAGGTTAGACTGTACCTTCAGTGGCCACTATTCACAGGTTTGACTGTACCCTCGGTGGTCACTGTATGCAGGTTAGACTGTACCTTCAGTGGCCACTATTCACAGGTTAGACTGTACCTTCAGTGGCCACTATACACAGGTTAGACTGTACCCTCGATGGTCACTATACACAGGTTAGACTGTACCCTCGATGGTCACTATACATAGGTTAGACTATACCTTCAGTGGCTACTATACACAGGTTTGACCAGTACCTATTAAAAAACACTAATTTCTGAAACAAATCTGTTTTTTTGGTTTCTGTTTTCAGGTGACTGTGAACGACAATTGAATCTTCCCATTACAACCAACTGTGACCGAAATGCAACAACAGTAGCCAAGATTCAAGCAGGTATGATATTATTTCAATGGTTTTTTAGTCATAAATGAAAATAATGGTATTTTTTCAGGGCTTTAGTTCGCAATACTATGAGCTTATTACGAGGATACCGAAAAGTATGCACAAAGACAGTGCAACGGGAGTATCAACCGTCGCGTAGCTGAGATCAATGCAGTAGTAGTGTACT